AGACTCAAACCTTACCCAACATCTGAGCTCAGAAACAGAGCTGCCTGAATATCACATGATGAAATGTGAGGAAAACTACAAGCGCTCACACAAGCCTGGTGGACATGCTGGCAGTCATCACTGCCTATCAACCCTCATGACTATGAAGCAACAAGCCAGTGACAGACTTGAGGGCTGAGTCTCAAATTCTGCACTTCAGTGTACAAAATGACAGTAATGTTGACAAAAATGTCAGGAAATGGTGGAAAATGCCAGTTTTCCAGAAGCCAGGGTGACATCTTCAAAAGTCCAAAACCTAAACGACTTTTGCCATTTTTTGCTTGAAAGATTATTAATCAGTTATGAGATAAGTTAACTAAGATCCTGTTCTTCTCAACATCAACACTCTTGTATCTCAGTAATAAGTGGAACATGTCATTTATTATGCAGGGAAAAGTGGTTAACTAAAGATTATTTACAAGCTTCTGCATTATGAAAGTGTACATCTGCTTGTAGAATGATATTAGCTAGCTCAAACACACAGTATGTAGTGGTTACATTTTATAGCAAGTATTGCATTTTTTCTCTCATGTGCATCGTTTGACTTTTTAAATGAAAAAAAGAAAAAAAAAACAGCATGGCACTGTGCAGGACATTTATTTGTTGTTTTCTGACCATGAGCAGCTTAAACATTAATCAGAATCATCTTTATTTATAAAGCTAACTCTCAATTTTCTTTCATTCCAGGCTGAGCAGACAAGCAAGAAGAAGAAAGAGGGGGGAGGGATTTGCATTTTCCCATAAACAACAAGTATTGAATACCAACAGCGTCAATATTTCAAAGACCTCTGACCCAGTGTAGTTGAAGCAGATAGAAGTAAATCAACAAAGGATGAGGGAAAGAGAGAAGTGCTTCTAAAGTCTAAGTTCAGTGTAAGTTATGAACCTGACCTGAAAAGTTCAAGCAGCTTAAATGCAAGCTAATAACTGGGAAACGCAGGTACCAAACACATTACAGCACGTTTTCCCGCCCTATGTAGAATTTCACATACACATATACATATAGATGTGTCTCCCTGCCCAGGTAAATGTGATGCTGTTCACAGCTGTGATATTTTTTCTACTCCCTAAAATAACCATGCTCAGTGCAGACGCACTGCAGCCTATACTTCAGCTCAGACTTGCACTCTGTGAACTGATGTCAATAAAATGCTCTACGTCATGTTTACAGCAAAAACCTCAGGGTGCAGGAGGCAGCAGCCATTATTATTATTTAGCAGCCATTATTATTTATACACTTTCATAAATAAGCAATTAGTCCCTTCAATACTGACCACGAGACTGAAATCTTGTCTACATTTCAACATCAAGGAAGTGTTATTGAGAAATGCTAGGAAGGAGGTTCTACAGATATCAGCAGTTCACAGGTAGAGCCCCAGTGATTTGGTCCCCTGATCCCTCTGTCAGGGTACTCATATTATATTTTTCCCCTATAGGATGATCTATAAATAAATCTGCTGAGCCTTCAACTTGATCTAATACCATCACAAGGTAATCTATTAATTTGGACTTTTAAACCAAATTATTAACTACAAAACCCATGAAAAATACTTTCAGCATTTCTTTATAATAATAATAATGGATTGGATTTATATAGCGCTTTTCAAGGCACCCAAAGCGCTTTACAATGCCACTATTCATTCACTCTCACATTCACACACTGGTGGAGGCAAGCTACGGTTGTAGCCACAGCTGCCCTGGGGCAGACTGACAGAAGCGAGGCTGCCATATCACGCCATCGGCCCCTCTGGCCAACACCAGTAGGCAAGTAGGGTAAAGTGTCTTGCCCAAGGACACAACGACCAGGACAGAGAGCCCCGGGATCGAACCGGCAACCTTCCGGTTACAGATACGCTTCCCAACCCCCTGAGCCACGGTCGCCCTTTATGTTTAGTTCTAATTATAAAACGTTAGCATACAATATCCGCAAGCTCGCTTTACAATGTTGGCATGTAGACACTACTATTGGGGGCATTTTCAGGGCTCCACTTTGCAGTGGGTACCTCCGAGCATGAAGAACTACTGGATGTGACAATGCTAACTGGTTAAACTTGAAGAAGACAACAAGTAGCAATAGAATAAGCAGTGTTACCTTCTCAAGCATTGCTATTAGCATCATAAACTTGATCAGCAAAGGCTAACGCAACAACAACAACAGCATTACAGCAGCTGTGGCAGTTCTCGGTTGTTTTGCTGCTTTGGCAACATTCAGTACTGACAATGCAGTTGAAGCTATCACAAAATTATTATATCAACTCGTGAGTCTGATTAATTTTACATCAAAACCAATTAAAAGAGAATTGATGGTCATTAGCAACATCACCCTCCCTCTGAACCTGCTTTGTGTTCCTGGAAAAGGTGCCTACAGCCTCTAACGATGAGAGATTTCACCAATCAAATCAAAGCTAGTACAACAGACCAATGACGGGGTGTAGACTACATATTGGCACAATTTTGGCTGGTTGTGTCGAACAACGGGTATTCACAACGTTTACCCAACAATACTACTTCTAATGTCTTCTACTTTCTGTTCCCTTTCTGCGTCTATTTTCTTGTTCCGTAACGACTCTTTGAACAAATTGTAGTTTCTTCACACAGGATGCATTTCTGACTTTTGACCGCAAACTGAATTAGACCCTGACCCTCCTAGCCTACTTCTAACAACTAGCCTTCAAACCCTACCTAAACCTACTCAACCCTCAAACCTAAACCGTAACCATAAATCTAATCCTAAACAGTAACCTGAAACATTGACCCTAAACCTAACCCCAACATATCAGAATATCTGTTACTTGGTTTTTGAAAAGCCAAATTAGGGGCATTTTTCATCACTGATAACTTTCACATAGATAATAATTTAAACTGTAATTTACAATTTGTAACAGAAGATAACTGTGTTGTAGCTCAACAGGTCATCTGGAGCAGTTCAATAAAATGACCACAAACTACGATATAGACTACAAAAAGGTAATAAAGCAGTCATCAGGTCTACACCTGAGAAGCTACACTGTCAAGAAAAAAATGTCTAAGTTGATCTTTGCTCAGATTAACAGTGCAGGTCTGTTGTGGAGCGTGAGGCTCCGCAGCGCATGTGTGCCAATTCATTTCCTCAAGGTCTGCTGCAAGAAAACCTTCCTCCTCCGGTGCAGCCCACATGTGGGGAGATTACATCTTTTATTTATCACTTCTTGGCTCTATTTTTCCAGCAAATTCCAAGCTGGGGTGCAATCAGCCAAGAAAGCCTCCCTGTGTGTGAGCGTTTGGGATGTGCGGACTACTGTTATTCCTCTTTGTAAGAATGCACATCGAGCCCAGATTCAGTTTCATTCCTGCAGAAACATTTCCCAATATCTGGGAACATAGGCCTCTTGTTTTGGCAGGGGAATGTGTTGTGAGTGCGTATTCACAAATACACAATGCCCACATGAACCGCCTGCATTTGACGGTGGAGGGGGGGGGTAGGCGAGGGATGGATCATGCAAGCACTCAGATTCCATTACAATTCAAATTAAGCACATGGAGTAATGGGATTACAGCCCTCAGAGATTCATGAACTCACAGGTGACAAACTGTAGCACGGTCACAGCTTCCCCGCTGACCAAACGGAGGGCTGTCTTCATTCAAGTGAGATCTTCAGATATGCACAAAGACACAACCCAAACTGGCTGTAGACTGGTGTGAATCATGGCCCATTTAAGAAGAATCTCGTGCCAGTATACTTTCTCTTTCCAAACCTCTTCTACTTAACAAGGGAGTGAAAAGATGCTTTTGTTTGCTCTTCTTTTGCTGGCAACAGGACGCTTGAAAGACACAAATGAACATGTAAATAGGAACAAAGTGCCAAACTCACAATGGAAATGCTGGGCATTTGATATGTGTGCTGGGTAATTAAAATCTCAAAGAACCTCTTCAGAGAGGGGAAAAATGACACTAAATCAAGCACCGATTCATGCTGCTGGTGGACTAAAGTTCTCAAGCACAAGCACACAGGTGTCTGTTCCTGTTTCACTAGCTCTCAATGGGTTATAAACAAGATCATGTACGGTAATTCTCAGCTTCTTTTCATAAAAAAGAAAAAAATGTATATATATACACTTTTTTCTTGCCTTTTAAAAAAAACAGAACTCTAAAACCGTCATTCCTCTAGATCTAAATATAAGACATCAATAGTGCATACTTGTCTCCTTTCCAGTGCAGCAGGTCGTGTTTATCAGCTTCTCACTGCTACACAATGCTGATCAAACTGTATGCAGGCTGTCAAAGCCACAATGCATGCTCAACTATCATTATTATTCAACAGCATATCAATTGTGCCACAAAGAACAACTCATTCAAATGTAATGTGTGTCAGTTGGGACCCAACCCAGCTGAACACTTCCCTTATTACTCAATAGTTTTATGTAATCTTTTAAAACAGATTTTAAAGGTCAGACGGTATTTGAACAGGCTCCTTTCTCATGATATGTGATACAGAAAAAATAAAGCTCTAACGCAACTAAATGCTTCTTCCCCGAGTCACGTCAACGCAGTCACTAAGTGATCCAAGCCAGCCGGAGGACAGTAAAATCGTTTTATTTGTCATTAATATGACAAAGTTTCGCAGTTCATTCTGACGCTGCTGAGGTGTGATGTGGGGGAAAATCCTCTTTTGTTTTATTTTCAGCGTAGTCTGTATTTTAAGGCTTTTTTTCACATTCAAACTAGCCCCGAGCTAAACAGGATTTAAATGCCTCAGTCACACATTCCCATTCATGCACCCAGCAGATTTAAAGCCCCATTGTAGCCTCTCCGCGAGTCTGTCGCCCTTTGTTGTCAAACCCTGTCACTTTACCTCCTCGTGTTAATCGACACATTCTCGCGCACCGACATTAAATTTCTCCTCTTGTTCTTTCTGTTCTCGACTGAAATTGTCCGGTTGTTTCATTTTTGTCCGTAGAGCCCAGTATCGCCACATCACTCACCGACTTGGAGTACGTTGTCCACGCAGCCGCTCTCCAGCAGAGCGATGCCCCGTCGGAAAGGCAGCCGCGTCTCGTCGCCGCTCTCCCCGCTACTTCCGATCTCCTCCCCGCCAGTGTTGAACGACGAATACATGCAGATCTCACGCTCGCTCCTCGGGAAAGACCAGTACACGATCCGTCTCTGGACGGGCTCCGGGATCCGCTCGAAACGCTCCTCTACCCTCTGAAACGGCCACTTCTCAGCGACTTTCCTCGCCGCGATGTCCAGGAGGGTCTCCGGACTCTGGGTTCTGCTCGATTCGCCCTGGGTGGCTCCCGAGCTGCCGCACGGCGCCCCCGCGGCCCGCTGGCCTTGTCTACATGTTGAGCCGTAGCCCGGTCTACAGCAGAGCCGCTTGGCTGGGGGCTGCTGTACGCGCTCCGCCATGATAGCTCCGCTTTAACGGCGACGGAGGAAGTCAACGCACCATATGAACGGGATGGGGAACGGAAAAGGTTACCCACGGTCTGATTGTTGGCCGTGTATGGCCAAATCATCCTTTTATGGCAACATGGGGCAGGGCTTCGGCGAGCTTGTCAAACCCCTTTGTTGACAAATTAAGAGAAGGCGGGGTCTGCGGGGCAAGCTCCGTGCTGAGGACTGCCAGGAGGGCGGAATTCCCGTCCGGCCCTAGTCCTTTGAAAGCCAGATTTCGGCCCAGAATGTTAACTTTGTACAATACAACTACAACGGTGTAGTTGTATTAAAGAGCTACTTCAGACGGTGGTTTTACCGGTTGGCGTTCACATTTACTAGGGACGGAGAGAGGGGGCTTTGTCTTTCGGTGAGGTGGATCAGGCGGATGAAAGCTAGGTGCCAATGGGCGGTTATTCGCCTGTCAACACTCGAGCCTCGTGGTTTGAGGGGGGGAGGGGGCAATGAACGCAGCACCGCCCCGTGTGAGGTTTACGGTCCACCTGAATGTGGGGCGTTTAAAGGAAACGTAACTGCTTCGTGAGATGTATGGAAGTCAATTTTTGACAAAAGAAACACGAAATCTAGTTATGAAAAAAATAGTAAGGCTGAGTCACAAAGCCCGATGAAAGAAATCTTTGAGTTATTAACTACTATAATACGATTTTTAAGATGAAAACATCATTCAATATGTACATTTTGACGTAAAATGTTTACTTTTTTAACACATAACCTCTAATTTTCCTGTTTTAGCATTTTCTTTCTTTCTTTCTGGAATTCACCAACTGTACCTTTAGGTGCCACAGACGCTTTACGATGAACTGCACAACGTGTTACGTCATGTTGCATTTGAAATTACCTGCTGATTAAAGAACCACTACTCTGTATATGTTTGCTTCTAATGCTAACTAGATGCTGAGAATTGTGATATCTGTAACATGAATGCATGAGAAGAAAAAGGGGTTGTGATGATGGTGTAAGTAGGCAATGGGTTGTCATTTATTCATATTGAAAAAGACTGCACCAAAATAAAAAATAAACTAATTTAAAAGTAGTCTGCTTATTAGATGTAACTAGTCATTAATTGATGGTGCCAGAATGCTATTTGAGATCATCCCAGCTAATTTTAACGCCTGAATGGAATAGTATCATACATTGGCTTCACCAGAGCCTGGACCTCAACTTTACTGAAGCAGTGTGGGATCATCTTGATAGAGAATGGAACAAAGGGCAGCCAACATCTGAAGAAGAGCTTTGGAACAGCTTTTGTCCTTTTTAAAGACTGGAGAACTATTCTTGAAGACTGTTTAATGACATTTCAAGACAATTTGCTCAACACAGCCTAACTGTGTTGAAAAATAAAGATGTTTATGTCAAAGATTGACCTTCAAGCTCATTAGAAAAAAAAAATCAGCAGACTGCTGCATCTGTTTGAATTTTTTATAGTTTTGCCAACAAAATATAAAGAAATGAGGGGTGGCTTAAGACCTGTGCACAGTACAATACATAGATAAGATGTGCACTGTTAAAACACATATTTGAGCCCCAGTTATGAACGGGAGTACAAAGACCAGAACCAGCTTCAACAAGTTTTAAAGCTGCAAAAAGAACAGTTTATGGGTTTTTTGTATTGTGTTTAAAGTATTTAAATAATCATTAAAGCTTGTGCAAATCTTTTAAAATGTAATATCTGTGTTTCTCTATTATTCGTTGCTGCCTTTCTAGGACAGTACAGCAGGTTATACTGAAATGAAAACTGGGGAACATTTAAGACACAAATTTAAACAGTTTTACTTGAGCATAAACACACTATTTGTCACCGTAATGGGCTTATCTGTCACTTTTCTCTTCCAGTTACAGTACCACCTGCTGCTCCTGCAGGACAGAGTTATCAGCAGCCTCATTTCAGCACACTTGCTCCATGCTGTGTAAATGATTTAGGCCCCCTGGTTGACAATCTTGAGTATTGTCTCATTTTACCCTGCAGACAGCACAGAAGAAGCACAGTAATGGCTGAGTCTATTCACTCAGCATGGTGGGAACACAGTGGGTGGGCTGGGAAAGAGAGACAGTAGCACAGACCATGACACACTCTGTTGAATAAGACAGTACAGGCCTCTAGCATTTGACTCTGTGCTCATTTTTCAGGCATTTGACCAAATCTATCTTTCACTGTATTCACTAGATTTAAAGCAAGTACATATATTTCATTATATTTCATTAAATTGTCTTTTCAAGAATCTCTCAGTTTCTTGAACCATCTTTTTGATGGATACACTGAAATTTAGTTCCAACATTATTGTTCACCTATAGCAGGGGTCTCAAACTTGCAGCCACTTGCGGCCCACATCACATCTTCTTGTATATCGAGTTGAAGAAATAAAATGCAATTTGGCCCTTGAAGTTACTTTTTTTATTAGAGAGGATTTATTTGTTGTTGAGTGCAATGTTAAAATAAGTTCTTTAAAAAAGCAAAAAATTATTTAATATGAAGCCAATATGAGAGGAGAGTACAAACACGTTGAGGGACTGGCTGTGTTAGTTCAGTGAGAGAGTTATTTGTATAGAAAACAATTTTCACTAGAAGTCAAAAACTAATGTGTACACTTACAGTGGCTTGCAAAAGTATTCGGCCCCCTTGAACTTTCCCACATTTTCTTACATTACAGCCACAAACATGAATCAATTTTATTGGAATTCCACGTGAAAGACCAATACAGAGTGGTGTACACGTGAGAAGTGGAATGAAAATCAGACATGATTCCAAACATTTTTTACAAATAAATAACTGCAAAGTGGGGTGTGCGTAATTATTCAGCCCCCTTTGGTCTGAGTGCAGTCAGTTGTCCATAGACATTGCCTGATGAGTGCTATTGACTAAATAGAGTGCACCTGTGTGTAATCTAATGTCAGTACAAATACAGCTGCTCTGAGGTTGCCTAAGAGAATATTGGGAGCAACAGCACCATGAAGTCCAAAGAACACACCAGACAGGTCAGGGATAAAGTTATTGAGAAATTTAAAGCAGGCTTAGGCTACAAAAAGATTTCCCAAGCCTTGAACATCCCACGGAGCACTGTTCAAGCGATCATTTAGAATTGGAAGGAGTATGGCACAACTGTAAACCTACCCAGACAAGGCCGTCCACCTAAACTCACAGGCCGAACAAGGAGAGCGCTGATCAGAAATGCAGCCAAGAGGCCCATGGTGACTCTGGACGAGCTGCAGAGATCTACAGCTCAGGTGGGGGAATCTGTCCATAGGACAACTATTAGTCGTGCACTGCACAAAGTTGGCCTTTATGGAAGAGTGGCAAGAAGAAAGCCATTGTTAACAGAAAGCCTTTAGAAGTCCCGTTTGCAGTTTGCCACAAGCCATGTGGGGACACAGAAAACATGTGGAAGAAGGTGCTCTGGTCAGATGAGACCAAAATGGAACTTTTTGGCCAAAATGCAAAACGCTATGTGTGGCGGAAAACTAACACTGCACATCACTCTGAACACACCATCCTCACTGTCAAATATGGTGGTGGCAGCATCGTGCTCTGGGGGTGCTTCTCTTCAGCAGGGACAGGGAAGCTGGTCAGAGTTGATGGGAAGATGGATGGAGCCAAATAAAGGGCAATCTTGGAAGAAAACCTCTTGGAGTGCAAAAGACTTGAGACTGGGGCGGAGGTTCACCTTCCAGCAGGACAACGACCCTAAACATAAATCCAGGGCAACAATGCAATGGTTTAAAACAAAACATATCCATGTGTTAGTCAAAGTCCAGATCTAAATCCAATCGAGAATCTGTGGCAAGACCTGAAAACTGCTGTTCACAAATGCTGTCCATCTAATCTGACTGAGCTGGAGCTGTTTTGCAAAGAAGAATGGGCAAAGATTTCAGTCTCTACATGTGCAAAGCTGGTAGAGACATACCCTAAAAGACTGGCAGCTGTAATTGCAGCAAAAGGTGGTTCTACAAAGTATTGACTCAAGGGGCTGAATAATTATGCCCACCCCACTTTGCAGTTATTTATTTGTAAAAAATGTTTGGAATCATGTCTGATTTTCATTCCACTTCTCACGTGTACACCACTTTGTATTGGTCTTTCACGTGGAATTGCGTTCACTTTTGCAGTTTTGTCTTGTTACACAATATTGGAAATTTAAAAATACAACAACAAAACACTACATTTTTGGAAATATTTGTGGGTTTGTACTACTGGACCACTAAAGTGGCCCTCCAATGAGATGACAGTGCCAGCAGCGGCCCACAGCTCATTTAAGTTTAGGACCTCTGACCTATAGGATCATAGATACTGTATGTTAGGTGACCTCCATACAGCAACCCACTCGGCTTTGTTGCCTACTCATTATCACTGACACCATTATTCTACTGTAAAACTGTTGATACAGCATATCAAACTGTAGACATTGTCTACTTTTACACTTTCTAGTATAAAAGATCCATGAATTCATCCATGAAGTTTTCGCATCTGTGAAACATCCAAAAAAATATAGAAAGCAGTTTATTTTTGCAATTACACTAATGGTCTGCACCTATTTGCTGATTTGGAACACTTGTGAGCATGTGCAGTGGGCTGCACACAAACCTTAAAACAAAACTAGAAGCTAGAACACTGTTTTGGTTTATGTGCAAATTGCAGCTATTATCAGTGAGGTATGCGGCTGCCATTTGTTTCTGCATACTCAGAACTCTGGAAACCTCTAAATTTCCAGATACAGTAGCTTACTGTATCGGGACAGTCACTTCAGTAAGCAGATTGTGGTCCAGTGTTCATCCCAGGGTTTACTAGGTTTGGGCTGTATGCCCTTGGCCCTATTTGGACTGAGACTCAGTCACTACAAGTGAAATTATGCCTCATTTAGTTTTAATTTGGGCTGATTCAAGGGCGTGATTCATCAGCCCAAAACTCATAAGGTAGTACAAAGAAAACATAATAAATTTCTATCAGCCCAAGCTATAGCTAATCTTTGTCTGATGCTAAATATTAGAAGTTAGCACCTTAACATGCTGAGGACGTGGTACATGGTAACCATTATTTCTGTTAAACATGCATATTGCCATATGTGTGAGCATGCTAATTTTCTAAAATTAGTTTCATTTCATGAGGCTAGCTACAGAGTTACCAGGAACATTTTTCATAATCTTGTGCTCAAATCTGTTATGAACTCAGAAAACTACAAATCCAATAATTATATTATAATTGAATATAAAATTCAAGATGGCTGCTTTTATACATAAAAACATGCTGTTTGTGGGGGTTTTGTACAATGGTGTGCAGAAGTCTTGAGCCACAGCCTAAATTCTTTTAGCAAGCTTTCTTGTAATTTCTTCAAACATCCTTCAGGAATGCTTCTTGAACGACAATTCAAAGATTTTCTTTGGATGCTGGCTGCCTTTTGTTCCATTCTCTGTCGAGATGATCCCATACTGCCTTGGGCTCTGGGGAGGCCATTCCATGACTAGTAATGTTCCATGTTTTCCTTTTTATCCAGGTATACTTGTATTACATTTGGCAGTGTATTTGGAATCATTGCTGTGTTCAGAAATGAAGCTGTTGCCAATCAGAAGCTTTCCAGATGACAGTGCATGGTGGAGCTCACAGTAATTTATTATTCTGCATTCAGGAAAGAATCATGGACATCAGCTAAAAGAAAGTGTTGAAACTAGGCTAAGCTAAGCTAAGATATGCAAGCTAAGATAGAGTTAAAGCATTTTTCATTTAACTTTTTAATACATGTAATTTAAAAATATAATTTAAAAAAACCTATGTGGAAAAACAATGTAGTTAGTAAATGTTACTGTTGTAATTATATCTTTAACATAATTTAAACTAACT